CTCCTTCTTCTTCTTCTTCTTCTTCTTCTTCTTCGTCTTCTTCTTCTTCTTCTTTCTTCCTCTTCTTCTTTCTTCTTTCTCCTTTTTCTTCTTCTTGTTCTTTCTTTCTTCTTCTTTTTCTTTTTCTTCTTCCTCTTATTTCTTAAAGTTTCTTCTTTCTTCCTCTTCTTTTTTCTTCTTTTTCTTCTCCTTCTTCATCTTCTTGTTCTTCCTCTTTTTTTTCTTCTTCTGCTTCTTCTTCTTCTTCTTCTTCTTCTTTTTCTTCTTCTTCTTCTTCTTCTTCTTCTTCTTCTTCTTCTCCTTTCTCCTCTGCCCGCCTTCGTGCCTTCGTCGCCTTCCGCCTCCGCCTGTCCGCCAACTTCTGCCTCCACCCCTCCGCCGCCTTCCGCCTCCTCCCACCTCCGCCTTCTTCCGCCTTCGCTCTGGTCCACCTCCGCCCCTCCGCCCCCTTCCGCTTCCGCCCCTTCGCCGACTTCCGCCTCCTCCCGCCTCCGCCCCCTTCCTCTCGGCCCCCTTCCGCTCCGCCTCCTCCTGCCTCCGCCCCCTTCTTCTTCTTCTTATTCTTGTTCTTCTTCTTTCTTTCTTCTTCTTCTTCGTTTTCTTCATTTTATTATTATTATTATTATTATTATTATTATTATTATTATTATTATTTTTTTTTATTTTTTTTTTTTTCAATCGTCTTCTTCTTCTTGCTTATTCTTCCTCCGCTCCCGCCTCCACTCCCGCCTCCACTCCCGCCTCCGCCTCCCGCCATCGCCACTACCTCCACCGCCCGCCTCCGCCTCACGCCTCCGCTTCACGCCTTCCGCCTTCTGCCTTCCGCCTCCGCCTGCCGCCCTCCGCTCCCGGCTCCGCTCCCGCCTCCCATCATCGTCTCCGCCTCCGCCTCTGCCTCCGCCTCTGCCATCGCCCCTCTTGCGCCTCCGCTCCACTCCCCCCTGCGCCTCCACCTCTGTCGTTGCCCCCCTTCCGCATCTACCTCCACTTCCCCCTGCGGCTGTGCCTGCGCCTCCGCTCCCGCCTTCCCGCCTACCCCCGCCTTCGTCGTCGCCTCCGCTCCAGCTCCCGCTCATGCTCTCTCCTTCCCGCCATCGCCTCCACCTTCGCCTCCGCCATC